CCGAATATGCTAAAATGATATTTGGGCATACATAAATTTGTTTTCAGAACACGCCGGTGGCCATATTGCGCGTGCGGCCACCATTTTGGAGCAGATTTTGGAACACACCAAGATGACTCGAACAACATGCGGCCGCCGCTATCATGGTGTATACCAAGATCTGCTCCAAAATGGCGGCACGCCTGCGCAGAATGCGCTGGCGGCCGATATGGCCCCTGCTCGTTCTGCGGTTTCAGTGTGCGGTTTCACTGCGGCACTACGCTCAGCTAGAGTATAGAGAAACTCAAGAGAAGAAACGTTTTGGCCGGTCATACATTGTAAAGGAAATCTTTCCAGAGAGCAAACTAGGGGCTGCCATTTTATTTATTAAAGGAGAACTATGAGGGGCGGGTGCTTTTCACTCACCTCATAGTTCTAGCCGACCTGTGACAATGAGACTGTCACAGGTCGGCTCAGTAGATCGGGAGGTGAGCGAACACATACCGGCGTTCGCTCACCTCTCGATCCTGTCACGGCTCTCTGCCGTGACAGGGGAGGGGCTGGATTCCCCCCTCCCCGCTCCGATCCTCCAGCGCTGACTGGCGGAACAGACGGGGGAGGGGGCGGGTACAGCTGGCTCTGCCTCTAGATAGGCAGAGCCAGCTGTCAATCACGCAGCTGGGTGGATCGGGACAGTAATGTCGTGATCCGTCCCGGCTGCGGCGTCTCAGTATACCACAAGCCGTAGCTCGCGGTATACTGAGCTTAGGGTAACGGGAGCACGCTAGTTTGTGTCCTCCCGTTACCCTAAGGAGAACTATGGGGAAAAGCCCTGACCCCATAGTTCTCCTTTAATATTTCTTTATTACAGGTATTTATATAGCGCTGACAATTTGTACTTTACAAACTGGACATTCACATCAGTTCCTGCCCTCAAAGAGCTTATAGTCTAAGATGCCTCACATGCATACATATATGCACACTAGGGCAAATTTAGAACATGTTACACGGAAGGATAAATGAAAATAAAGCTTCCTTGATATCCCCTTTACATGGAGCACAATAAGGCTCCATTCACACATAGCGTTAGCGTTTTCCGTGCGGCATGAAAACGTGCAAACGTTAACATAAGCGCAGATTCCTTGCGTCTGTGCTTACTACTACTTCTGGAACGCGCAGAAAGTTGCGCTGGGACTTTTTGGTGGGGCATGCATCTTCGTACCACGCGGACACTGCCCTAGTGTGAATAACTTACATTGAAAAACATTATTTGTTATGTTTAGCGCGTTTCCCGCTAATGTCTGAATGGTGCCTCATATATTGTGAACTTTCTTTGTTTTGTTGATCATGGCAAGCTTTAAGCTTCATTATGGCTCACCATTATTTACGTGTTATTGGGTGGAACTTTAACTTTTTGCTCTCTCTATAGAAAACACCTTAATTTACAAGTGTTTACATACATCTGATCTAACCTCTTGCATCTGAATGGGAAGACTGTTGGATACAATGGGTTTCATGTCATCAGAAGGAGTATCAGGACCCTAGGGCTAGCAGACTTGTTTCCTATCCTTGCAGAAACTGGCTTTGTAGAATTCTGGTAATTTCATGAGGGGGGAAAGGAGGGGTAGATTTGCCAGGTAAGGGACAAATGACACAATGCTAACTGGAGTTATTTGAAAGAGTTTATTTCAAATAAGGTGCAGAGTCTCCGGGCCTTCACCAAATTACACTTTACAAAAACAATACAGAATACTTACAGGAACAGGATACCTCAAAACTCAATTTTTTCCCACCACCCAGATACCTGCCTATGCGCAGCTATAAGACTCAATGTAATAAGATGGCCGAGTTACAGTCTATGGCCAAATGTTTGTGGGCTCCTGACCATCACGTCTACTATATCAGGCTTTCTTAAACTTTCTCCACTCGTGACCCCTTTTTGGCCGAGGAAATTTTTACGTGACCCCAGCGTCGGATGGTGTCTCTCCCCTCGTGTCGGTTGGTGTCTCTCTTGGACGGACGGTCAGTGTCTGTCATTGCCAACTACTACTACTACTACTAACCCCCTCTCCCTCCTTTCCTTTACCTCCAGCAGCTGTGCTAAACTTCTGCTGGGTTAAAGAAAGCTCTGTCAATGGAAAAAAGAAAAAAACACTTCCTGCGCGCACGTGCTCAGGAAGGTACCTGTGCACTTGGTACCTTCCTCAGCACGTGTGTGCAGGAAGTGCACAGGGGGTCCCTTAACAACTACACTACACTGCACTTTAAACGAAAATAAAAAAAATCTTGCTTGGAACCCAGGCCTCCGATTGCGGGACCCCATATGGGGTAGCGACCCACACTTGAAGAAGCACTGTACTATATGACCAAAGGTATGTGAATACCCCTCCATATTATTGAGTTCAGGTGTTTCCAGTGAAAGGTACTGTTAATGTTTGAACACCCAAAGACATTACTTTGGAGAAGGCCCTTTACTGTTCCAGTATGACTGTGTCCATGTGCAGAAAGCCAAGTTCACAAAGCCATGGTCTGATGAGTTTAGTGTGGCTGAACTCAAGAAGGCCTGACCACAACCCTACAAAACTCCTTTGGAATGAGTTGGAATGCCAATTTCAAGCCATGACTTCTTGTCCAATGTCAGTAGTTGACCTTACAATACATTATAGAGCACCATGTGTGGGAAAGCGCAGGCTTACCTGAACAGTCTTCCAGCAACTTGCTCAGTGGGGGCTCCATGGACCCTGGTTGTGGTGGGGTCTGCTGTGTCCGTAGCTGCAGTGGCTCCCTCCCTCTGCCGCCTCTCTGCCACCTGCATCCGGCCGGCCTGCATCAGACGCGGCTCTGTCATCGGGCGGCCGCTCGGTCCTCAAGAGGCCTCAGCAGGCGGCCCTCTAACATGCCTGATTAGAGGGCCGCTTCTGCCTGATCCAGCTGATTGCTTCTGCTCTACTGGGGAGATCTGGGTGGGTTTCCGGGTCTGTACACCCCATGTACCCATTATGAGGGGCTCTTGCTCAGTGGGGGCTCCATGGACCCTGGTTGTGGTGGGGTCTGCTGTGTCCGTAGCTGCAGTGGCTCCCTCCCTCTGCCGCCTCTCTGCCACCTGCATCCGGCCGGCCTGCATCAGACGCGGCTCTGTCATCGGGCGGCCGCTCGGTCCTCAAGAGGCCTCAGCAGGCGGCCCTCTAACATGCCTGATTAGAGGGCCGCTTCTGCCTGATCCAGCTGATTGCTTCTGCTCTACTGGGGAGATCTGGGTGGGTTTCCGGGTCTGTACACCCCATGTACCCATTATGAGGGGCTCCCACCATCCCTGTGCCGGGTTCCCGGGTCTGTACACCCGCTGTGCCCATTATGAGGAGCTCCCACCATCCCTGTGCTGAGTTCCCGGGTCTGTACACCCGCTGTGCCCATTATGAGGGGCTCCCACCATCCCTGTGCTGAGTTCCCGGGTCTGTACACCCGCTGTGCCCATTATGAGGGGCTCCCACCATCCCTGTGCTGAGTTCCCGGGTCTGTACACCCGCTGTGCCCATTATGAGGGGTTCCCACCATCCCTGTGCTGTCCCAAATCATTGGGTCAAGTGGGATTGTGGCCCCCCCAGTAGAGAATAGCCCATTGGCGTCGGGGATACTGGCTTCTGGGAAATAATAGCCTCCAAACCTTTGATGTCAGTGGGATTGTGGTCCCCAGGAGGGAAAAGCCCCCAAAACATTGGTGTCAGTGGGAGTTTGGACCGCAGGATAGAATAGATTCCCCATGGGATCCAAGCCCGGTGTGACAGCAGTACTTGGAGGAAGGTTGTATGCCGCGGCCTGTTGCCAGGAACCACAGCCCTAGAAATTCCCCTCCGTTACATGGACAATTCCACATTTCCCTATCGTCTAGAGATAGACTTTGAGTGCTGGCAGGGCAAAGTACGAGGCCGGAGAAGATTAGGAGAGCTCACTGGGGGAGAATTTATCAAAACTATAACAGAGAGAACCAGGAGCAGTTGCTTCTTCAGTTTGCTCAGTTAAACTTTGAAAATGAAAGACGGAATCTGATTGGTTGCCACGGGCATCTGCTCCAGATTCTGTCTGCTTCGGTTCTGATAAATTCCCCTCAATTGTGTCTATAATTCCGCCAGATTACCGGAGACATTTCAAGCCTTTCTTTTCCACTGACCTGGGAAGGCTGGGCCTGCTTTTCACGTGCACCAATGGAGAGCGCATTAAACCCGACACTTCCAGTCCCTGTGACACCAGGACAGGGACTGAGAAGAACGGTGTCACCGAGTTAACAAGGCAGCAATACAAATCTCACAAAGGTTCTATTCTTCCCAGCTGTTCTAAAAAGACTGCTTTTAATGATGACCCCAATTGGGGAGATTTTTCCCACTTCCTGTCCCAGGGACATGCAAAAAAAAATAAATTAGGTGAAAGGGTCACCTAGCTGAGAAGAGAGACGGTGATACAAACCTCACAGGGATTCTAACCCTTCCCAGTATTTTTGCAGCTGTTTGGGTGCCCTTTGGAGAGATTTCTCATCACATCCTGTCCCTCTGAACCTGGAACAGGAAGTGAGGGGTAATATCCCCAGTGCATGTACTTTTTAAAATTTACTTTTTATTTGTGTTATTGTAACACAGCACAATGCACGGTAGTGAATTATCATGCGCTGCAATGCATCCTACATAGTGAGGGTGCGTTGGGGTGCCGTTGAGGATGCATGGGCAATGCTTGTTTTTGTTTGTCACCACAGCACAATAGTGTGAACAGGCCCTAACAGTGTGGTCATCCTTTAAGTGTGGCCATGTTTGGGCTCCCATGAATGTCATTATTACTTTCCACTTTAGAGTTCTACTTGAAGCCAGCCAGCAGTCACTGAGGGTGGGGGGCGTGTACACCCTGTGCACATGCCCCGCCCACGTTCCCCTGCCGGGGTCGCTTAGCAACCAACAGGCGGATAGAGCGCTTTCACATTACGTCGCAGGAAGGATGACGTCAAGGGCGTCGCGCCGGCTCCCTCCACCCGGCAGAAGCATGTGTCCCTCCTCCTGTGAGTCTGGGCGGCTTCCGGTTTCCGGCCTGTGTTCCAGGGGCCTGAGCGGCGCAGGGAGGGAAGGATGGTGCTCATTAAGGAGTTGTGAGTACCCCCGGATGTGGTGGAGGAGGGGGGCTTGGGCAGGTGGGGGGAAGGTGTATTGTGTGTGGGGGGTGCGAGACTCTGGGGTGGAGCTGCTGTCAGCACAGGCCTGGGGGGAAGGGTGGGGTGCAGCTCTGACAGATATCCCCGGCCTTCTGTCACTGGAGTGGAGGGGATATAGAGCCCACCCGGGGGTAATGAGAGAGATTACTACACTGGTTCTATGCTTAAGGGGGGGGCACAAGGCCCAGCATGGCTTGCCAGATGTCAGGTAGCTACAAGTCCCACCTTTTGTTTTTACTGTTATGTATGGGGGGGACTATAAGTCCCAACATTGCCTTCTATTGGCTAAAGGATGATCACAATCCCCCAGCATGCTACGTGGGAGCTACCCAGCAGGCCCTCAATCCTATTGCTACTATTCTCTGAAAGTATCTGCCCATCTGTTAATGCACTACAGGTCCCAGCATGGCCTGTCAGGCTCCTCTGTCTGGTGGGAGGTTGCCTCTCCCAGCATGCTCTACTACTTCCTGTTCTAGGGTGACAACACTCACTAACTGTTGTCTATGGAGGAGCAGCGTTGTCACCCAGTGCTGCTAGACAACAGCCCCACCATACTGGTTTTTTTCGGCTTCCCTCTACTCGCTGTAAATGATCTTGAGCAGCCCCGGCAGGGTGACAACACTGCTCCTTCATAAAGGTACAGTAAGCGAGTGTTGTCCCCCCTCGTGGGATTATCAGAGTCTCTTATTGGTGATTGCAACCCTTCTAATGCTCTTCTCTCTCTCTCTCTCTGCAGTCGCGTCCGTCTGCCCATATCCGTGGAGGAGGTGAGCGCTCTCTTGTGTGAACACATTACAGATTCTCCTTTCATCACAAAACTCCCCGACTTGAGCAATCCCAGAGTGACTCAGTGTGAGGTTTTTGGGAAGTCGGGTTTACGTAATGCTTTGAAGCAGAGCTAGGCGACCTCCGCACTCCAGCCGTTGTGGAACTACAAGTCCCTTGAGGCATTGCAAGGCTCCTGACAGCCACAGGCATGACTTCTGGAGGCAGATGCATGATGGGATTTGTAGTTTCACCACAGCTGGAGTGCTGAAGTTGCCTACCCTCTGCTGTGCAGCCTAACTTAGTTTGTTTATAGTATAGGAGGCTAATGCACATATTTATTTGTTGGACACAAGCAGTGTGAGTACCTGAGTGTGACCTGTACAGCAGGGCTGGAGTGTGAGGAAGAAGCAAAACAAGGAGCCAATCAGTTCATGTGCTAAGAAGCAAGCTGATAGGAGGAGAGAACAGAGTGACGGAGAGATGAGTTTCACCTCCTTGTCTCATTTAATCATCCAGTCACAGGCTGGGGGCGGGTCCAGTATGACCTGGGCTCAGAGGATGTGGGTTGAATGATGCTGGACATCTAGTGGCAAAAATAAATAATTGGGGGAAGTTTCCCTAAGGGGTAATATCGGCACTGAAAGCAAATGTTACAGCCAGAGCTGGTTCTGCTATTCTATCCTTTAATAAGCTGTTCAATTTATCTGATTTCTTGGCTGGGGTTCAGTTTTTAAAATGTGTCCTGTATTTTATATCTGTGACCACGTTGGGGAGATTGTTCCTGACTTCCTGTCCCTGTGACAGCTATACAAGGAATGAGAGGAGCAGTTGTCACCATTACAGGAAGTCACAGACAATAAGAATAAAACATTGTCAGAAATGTTTCAGCCTTCCTTGTGGTTCTTGCTTGTGAAACCCCCCCCCCCATTAGAGGGATTTCCCATCGCTTCCTGTCAGGACAGGAAGTGATGAAAAATCTCCCAAGTGGGAACTTGGATGGTAATGGAAAAAACAGCTTCTCTGACCCTTCCCTTCTTGATTTAAAATGACAGAAAAGGAAGTTTGAAGCTGAGCTTTAGGTGCTTAGTGACACCGCCCCTTTTTCCCATGTGACAGCGTTGCTGCTTGGCAATTGGCTGCTCAGACACCGAGCGATGTCACCGAGCAAACAGAACAAAATGCATCCCGTGGAATATGCTGAAGGAGAACTATGGGGTCAGGACTTTTCCCCATAGTTCTCCTTAGGGTAACAGGAGGACACAAACTAGCGTCCTCCCGTCACCCTAGGCTCAGTATACCGCGAACTGTATACTGAGATGCCGCATTATACCACAAGCTGCAATTATGTCTGGATCCGCCCAGCTGCGTGACTGACAGCTGGCTCTGCCCCTCTAGAGGCAGAGCCAGCTGTACCCACCCCTCCCCCGTCCGTTCCGCCAGTCAGCGCTTGGGGACCGGGGCGGAAGGGGGGAATCCAGCCCCTCCCCTGTCGCAGCAGAGAGCCGTGACAGGATCGAGAGGTGAGTAAACGCCGCTATGTGTTCGCTCACCTCCCGATCTACTGAGCCGACCTGTGACAGTCTCATTGTCACAGGTCGGCTAGGACTATGAGGTGAGTGAAAGGCACTCCTCATAGTTCTCCTTTAAGCAGATAGGAGAAGTTTGTATCCTTTTTTGGCGAATGCTTTCCTCCACTTCCTGTCATTCTGTTCACTGTGCGTGTTCCTCTTCCTCCTCCAGTACCAGGTGGGCCAGCTCTTCTCGGTGGCCGAAGCCAGCAAGGATAACACGGGAGGTGGAGAGGGGATCGAAGTCCTGAAGAATGAGCCCTATGAGCGGGATGGTGAGAAGGGACAATACACCCACAAGATCTACCACCTGCAGAGGTGAGCCGGGCCGGGTGTTGGCTGTTACTTTGCCACCGTGTCACCTCTTGTATAAGCAGAGGGTGGTGCCACGGGGGCGAGTGCGGTGACGGGGCAGCAGACCTGCTCCATGTATCCTGTGCCGATCCCGGCTAAAGACGCACGCTGGTATATTTCTATACAACGTATTATTACACATTGTTACATTGTAATTAGGGGATGCACCGGTACTGTTTTTTCGGTATGAGTACCGATATTTTTTTCCCGGTACTCGCCGATACCGGAAGTCCCCTTAAGGAAGCCTGACGGCGTGTAAAGACTCGCCACCCGGCTTCCCGATTTTAGCAGGGAAGCCGTCCCCATGCGTCTCGTCACTGGGTGACGAGAAAGCATGGAGCCGGCTCTCTGGCCAATCGGGAAGCTGGGCGCCGTGTAATGACGCGGCGCCCTGCTTTCTGATTGCCCGGGTAGCCGTCTCCATGCTCCCTCATCATGAGGTGACGAGACGCATGGGGACGGCTTTCCGGCCAATCAAAAAGCCGGGCGCCGCGTCATTACACGGCGCCCAGCTTCCTGATTGGCCAGCTTACCTAACCAATCAGGCTGGTTTTAACGCTCTTTTATTGCTCATTAAGAATATGTAATTACTTGAATGTTCATCATCGGGGGAGGAGGGGGGGTGTATTTTGAGCTCTCTTTGCCATGGCTGCCAGTGGGAGGCATCGGCCGGCAGCCTTCATGTCACACATAAGAGTGCCCTACCAGACTACAACTCCCAGGAGGCACCAATTATGTAGTGGGGCCAGCTCTTGGGACTTTCCAGTCATAGAATAGGGCGGGGCTTGTTGGTGATGGGGAATCTGAGCACCCCCCTTATAAATGCTGCAGCATCGAGGGGGAGAGCATCCAGCCCTCTGCATGTAGCGGTCACATGTGGCATGGTGACGTCACCCCTTTGGTGATGTGTTCCTGGCAGCCCGGCCAGTTTCTGGGTGATGGAGGGGCCCCGAGCGGCCACATCCTGACTTTCCATTTTATGTGGGGTGACCCTTTGATGATCTCCCTTCCACCTTTGCTCATCTGATCTCCTCTGCCGTGTTTTGTCTTGCAGTAAAGTCCCCAGCTTCGTGAAGATGTTGGCCCCCGAGGGCTCCCTGGTGTTTCATGAGAAGGCCTGGAACGCCTATCCCTACTGCCGCACAAGTACGCCTTTCATGTTCTTTATACTTTACCTAAAATGTATACAAATGTTTCCTTGTCCTCCATCTAATAATGGCGTCTCTGTCTCTCTCCCTCCCTCTCACCTCTCTTCAACACAAACCTCCTGGGGACCCGCAGTTGTCACTGTGAGTATACAACATGGGGCATCGTAGAGTTTGGGATGTTCTGTTAATTTCCTTAAACCAGCCACCCGCCTTGTACAATGTTCTTTTGAGACTTCCCATAATCCAGTAGTATGAGGGCCCATAGCCTTCCTCCTGCACTATAGAGAGCGCGCTTCCTGCCTCATGGCTGTGTATCCGCGGTGTGAGATCTAAGGCACTGCAAGTCATAGGAGATTTGGTGATGTCATCAATGTGTTGCTCACTGTTCTCCTTGCTGGAGGTGCTGCCATGAGGAAGCAAAGCCCCGCGTCTCAAAGCGTCCCCGCGTCTCAGAGCCCCAGCCCCTACCAAGATGGCTGCCTCCACACAAACGCAGTGCAGAGCAAGGCATAAGTCGGTAATGAGGAAAAGATCAGCTATAGGGGGACCACAGGAAATACCGCTGACTCGTCCTTTGCCCTCTGCTGGTCTTTTTTCCGGGCCCAGCTTCCAGAGTTGCTGTTAAAGGAATGTAATGACTCTCCACCTGGCTTCCTGATTGGCCCGGGAAGCCGGCTCCATGCTCCCTCGTCAGGTGACCAGGAAGACGAGGAAGCATGGAGTCGGCTTTCTGGCCAATCGGGAAGCTGGGGGTAATGACTCGCTGCCCGGCTTCCTGATTGGCCCGGGAAGCCGGCTCCATGCTCCCTCGTCAGGTGACCAGGAAGACGAGGAAGCATGGAGTCGGCTTTCTGGCCAGTGAGGAAGCTGGGGGTGGGTAATGACTCGCTGCCTGGCTTCTTGATTGGCCGAGAAGCCGGCTCCATGCTCCCTCAGGTGACTAGGAAGCATGGAGATGGCTTTCTGGCCGCTCAGGAAGCCGAGGGGCGGGGAATGACACACCACCTGGCTTTCTGAGTGGCCAGCTACCCAATCAATCAGGAAGCTGGGCAGCGTGTAATGATTCGACCCCCGGCTTCCTGATACCGGAAGTCTTGGGGCGAGTACTCGCCATCGGTGCATCCCTACTAACTGTAATGTCCTCCTTGTATTGTGAAGCGCCGAGCAAACTTGGCGCTCTATAAATCCTGAAGAATTATAATTTGAATATCACTTTAAGATGTTTTGGACGTCACTGGCTGCATGCTTGTTTCTGCTCAGCGATTCACTAGGGGATCAGGATGAGGGTCCCGGAGCCACCACATCCGCAGCGCCGGCTTCCTCTTCTGTCCCGGTTTCCTGTCTTCTCCCCCCGCCAGAGCCGCCACACCCCGCTGCTTACAGTTTGTATAGAGAATGATACCGGTGAAGTTGTCATTCCAGTTTCTCCCAGTACAATACACATTCCTTCCTGTGTGAACTGCGCACTTCAAAACTTTCACTTTCACTTCCTCTTTGTTTGCTGAGCAGGTGGTGAATGAGGAGAGTTGATGGGCCCTTCCCATGAACTGTCATTACATAGTCAGCAAAGTTGCTGTGACCCGCGGTGACCAATCAGACGTGTCTATTGATCGCTGAAAGCTAGGCTTTGGTTGGCTGCCATCGGTCACTGCACTGTATGCATTGCCCATTGTATTATTGAATGCTCTGTGATGAGGAAGGTGAACAATACTGTGCCGGGAAGTGCAGCACTCTGTTGGTGAACTACTACCCCCGGTATGTCTTGCATGACTAAGGAGGTTTAAAAGAACCTCCGTCCTCCTCTTCAGTCTTCTATCTGACCTCCGTCCTTCCCTTCAGTCTTCTATCTGACCTCCGTCCTTCCCTTCAGTCTTCTCTCTGACCTCCGTCCTTCCCTTCAGTCTTCTCTCTGACCTCCGTCCTCCCTCAGTCTTCTCTCTGACCTCCGTCCTCCCCTTCAGTCTTCTCTCTGACCTCCGTCCTCCCCTTCAGTCTTCTCTCTGACCTCCGTCCTCCCCTTCAGTCTTCTCTCTGACCTCCGTCCTCCCCTTCAGTCTTCTCTCTGACCTCCGGCTCCTCTCCTCTTCCTCTGATATCGTGTTTCCCCGAAAGTAAGACCTAGTTCGGTGGTAGATCCTCTTCCTCTGTTGTCACTGCACACTGGGAGCGTCTCACAATGTACATTAGAAGCTGCAGCAAGTCAGATAGAGCTCCGCCTCATTTCCTGCCTGGAGGATATCGCGCATCATCTAGTTCTTTCCTCCCCAGCCTGACTGTCCCTGGCCTGATTGCACGGGAAGCCGGCTCCATGCCAGCGGAAGCAGCGGTACCGGTATTCCGTATCAGCGAGTACCGAAAGCAAAGCATCCGCATTCGGTACCGAAAAAACGGTATCGGTGCCTCCCTGGTTCTTATATACAGTGTTTTCGCCTTTTTCCGTATTCATGGCTCCTCCTCCTCTCACTGCTTCCAATTTTGTTTTTGATTCAGAACGAATACATGAAAGACGACTTCTTCATCAAGATCGAGACGTGGCATAAGCCGGATTTCGGGACCCTGCTGTAGGAGACGGGCAGGGCCTCCGGGTGCGCTGTAGGAGACGGGCAGGGCCTCCGGGTGCGCTGTAGGAGGCGGGCAGGGACTCCTGGTGCGCTGTAGGAGACGGGCAGGGACTCTGGGCACCAGGGGTCTTGTAGATTCCTTTTATTATAACATATGTTTGTCTTTGCTTGCAGAATGAAATCGTTAACAACCCCTCCTGCCCTCACATGTGTGCCTACAAACTAGTGACTGTCAAATTCCGATGGTGGGGCCTTCAGGGTAGAATGGAGAAGTTTATTCACAAGGTAAGTTCACCCTTTAAATCCGCCTGCGCTGCCTTTTCTCTCCGCTTGTCTCTCTCTCTCTCCCCCATCCACCTTCTGCTTTTTTTTCTTTCCCATGCCGTGCTCCCAGCAAGAGAAGCGCCTCTTCACCAGCTTTCACCGCCAGCTTTTCTGCTCCCTGGACCGGTGGGTGGATCTGAACATGGACGATATTCGCCGAATGGAAGACGAAACGCAGAAAGAGCTGGACGAGGTGAGGAGCGGGAAGCTGGCTTCTTATAACGGGGCAGCGGACATGTGTATTGTGTAACTAATGGGCCTTCTCTGCTTTCCTACAGATGCGGCAAAAAGGACAGGTCAGGGGCATGACTGCAAAAGACGAGTGAACTTCTATTTTGTTTTTTTTATCAGGGCTCCATGGACTTAACAGGTGAGAAAGTTGCTGCCCTTGCTATTCCAACAACCACCACTGGGTGGCAGCACACACCTAGTTTCACAATCTTCCATGGACGTAGATACATGTATGCGTGTTTTACATTAAGGCCCCATTCACACTGCGCGATTTGCATTTTGCACGATATCACGCAAATGCTTGCATTGCAAAGAATGGAATCGCGGCAAAATCTGCTCCAAAAAGGGTCCTGATGTAGCGACGCACGACCCGCGACAGCAGGACCCTTTGCCCCATTGCCTTGCATTGGAGAGCGATATCGCGCGGTAAATAGCCGCAATATCGCGGGAATTACCGCACGATAAATCGCTCAATGTGAACGGGGCCTAAAAGTTGTATTAAAACCTCTTTCATTTTTTTTATTTTTTAAATATTCCTCCTGTAGATTCACTTCATTAGCTGAACTTTCACATTTTTTTATTCCTTCCTATGTTCCCAAACATTTTTACCTCCTTTACATATTGACCACCGCTGTATCTCCCCAGTCGCTTCCCAGATCTTCCTGTCGGGGGCATTGTTAGCATCAGGTGGTTATCATCTGAATATATGCAATGGAACTACATGTCCCATGATCCCTTGCTCAGTTCATACAGCATATGCATGTCCATGTAGACTCACAGACAGACATTGGAGTGTCTGCCAGCGGACAGACCCACGTTGGGGAAGACCCAGGCATCCTGCGAGGACCACACACAAACAGGAATTGCTCAGTGGTTAGCACTTCTACCTTGCAGCACTGGGGTCATCAGTTCATATCCATACAGGACACAATCTGTATGGAGTTTGCATGTTCTCCCCGTGCATGTATATGTAGTTACTTCCATTTCCTCCCGCACACCAAAGACACGCTGGAAGGTTAATTGGCTCCTGTGTAAATTGGGCCTGTATGTGAGAGAGGATTTGATTGTAAGCTCCTTGGGGGCGGGGACTGAATGATATGTAAATTGCTGGCACTATATAAATATTTCGTGACTGCATGGTAGGCGTTGAGTTGTCTGTTTTTGGTTTCTAAATATTACCCTCTCTGGGGCACTCGGAGTAATTCTCATTTTTTTTCTCTCTCCTCTTAGATTCCTCTCAGGCGGAGTCTGCCACATCTTCCTTCCTCTCATTGGCTGGACTGCACGGGGTTGGGGTATATCTACGTTTTTTGATGAAAGAAGAGGAACAGCTGCTGGCCCCACCCCCACCCCCCCTATTCAAATGTCGTTGTGCATCCCCCCATTCCCGGCTTCTCTC